GGTAAATTCTATGCCTTACGTAATCCTTTAAGCATAATGATTTTAAGTATTTTAGCGAATTGGTTACCGTTGTTTGATTATGTGTGTGATTGGTTATTTGTGTGTTGCCTGAGCTATGATTTGAGGTGATTTTGTGCCATTTACCTTAAAGCGTGATGTTATAAATTATCGTTAAGAGTCAAGTTTTTTTTAAAGAAGTAACTCACCTTCAAGAAGGTGAAGTCATTTTAAGTGTTTTTAGTCACTAGCGCCAGTCCATTGCCATTTAATATTTGCAGACAGAGCAGCAGTTATGCTCTTGAGATCTTTGAGACAGAGCAGCAGTTATGCTCTTGAGACTTTTAAGATGAGCAGCAGTTATGCTCTTGAGTGCTCTTGAGATTCGTGGTGAAGAGCCACCACGATAAGTTTAAGATGTTAGGGGGATGAATCGTTACGACTTCCCTAACTAAGTTTAAGTTTAAGGAAAGCCTAGATGGCTTCTCATACGTATGAGTTGGCAATCGGACTAGCTAGTGAGGGATCCCTGTGTCATTCAAGTATTTAAGTCAAGATTTGAGCTTTAAGATAGGAGAATAACTTCAACTCCCTCCAAGTTTAAGAGTTAAGCTTTTAAGATTGGAAGTACAAACAACTTCCACTAGTCAAAGTTAAGTGTTTTAAGTAAAGTACTAAGCAGTAAGAATTTTAAACGTAAGGCGTAGACTGACCCCATCCCACTCACCAGTTGGAAGAGCTAGAGGAAGAGCTAGAGGAGCATTTAATGAGCAGCGAGTTCGAGGGCAGCCAGCTAGAGGAGAGCAGTATAAGCCTCACGGAGGATGCTTAGTCAAGGTTTTCAGGAGCAACAACTTCAGAGTTTATTAGTTAATTACATTTATGATTATGAGTACAGACTGGAGATTACTTCGAGATCATATTGAGATTTTAAAGCTTGACTTTAAATTGCCCACGTGTTAGGGCTTTGCTTTGATCTTCAAGTGTGTTTTTAGTATTTTATTTATGAAAATTTTTCCCGCTGCAATTTAAGATTCGAGTATTTTATTTGTGAAGGGCATTTTAGTAAAAGTAGTACCCGGCCGGGTTAGGGTGTTTCATCTTGGTATCAGAGCCGGTCTTCCTCTGTTCCTTGGTCTCCATGGAATACTGGAATGTCGGTCTCAGTTTTTAAAGGTTTTGTTTTAAAGGAAAGGGAAATCGAGTCAAGAATCTTTTTTTAAGAGTTTATAGGATCTCCAGTCTACTTTAATCATATTAAGGTGAATAACTATGACAGCACGACACGAAGGGATGGTAGCCCGGGGTGCGATTGTTTAAGAATAGGCTGGGACGCGATTTATTTAACATGTCGTGGTTTGTCAAATGAGAGATTTAGGCATATGGTCATCGCCAGTAAGAAAGAAAGGGGGAAAGAAGCGTGACCAACCCAAGTAGGATCTCAAAGGCTCTCAAGATCAAGTATCTCATCGACATGATGGATAGTAATTTTTGAATTAGTTAATCAACTACTCGGACGTTAGCAAACAGATCATCGTCATCAACCTAGAGAAGGAAGGAGGAACGTTGCAAAGGTCGGTAGAGGTAGAATCAAATGTGCGAGGTCTTCAACTCCAAACACCAACAAAGAGGTGCCAATTGAAAGGGAATACCTCAGGGATTTGAAGGAGATGAGAGAGTAGTACGGGGATTTTACTACCAGGAAACAAGTGAATGATCTAATAAGCTAAGATAAACAAAGGGGGAGAAATATGAACCTCCAAAGGAAGAGGAACAATCACCAGATGCCAGTAGCTATGATACTAGGATAATGTTAGGGTCTTTGGTCCTAAGCAGTGGAAAGTGGTCAACGGGTCAAGAAACGAAGAGGTACCCCGAGAGGTCCCTCAGCTAGTTTTTGTGGTCGATGGCTCGACGCGATTACAACATAGTGACAAGGAGCAAAGGAAAGTTTAGACCTTAAAGGAATTTTGTGGTAGTATAAAGGAAGCAAAGGAGGAAATAAGTCAATTTTAGGGAGTATGAAAGGACGTCAAGTAGTCAATAGTTTGAGGAGGTCAGGAGGCATGGTCGTTTACATATGACGACAAAGGAGCCCTTATAGATAAACTACGTCACTAGAGAAAGGGGTACATGACCCTGGGGAATAAGGCTGATAGCAAATCCTTACAAGGAAAATAACAAGCGTCAAGATAATCGAGGTAGAGGACGAGCTTGGATCAAGAATAACAATGTGCTAGTGAACAATACCGAGCTATAAAGGGGATGGAATGGGATATAAGAGGCCGTACAAACTACCCAAATCACGAAAGGTCACAAGGTCGTTGGGACCGTTGAAAGGGGGATGCAAGAGTTCGCGATGATCTTTTGTGTCATTGGCCTATCCAAAAAGGAGGGAGCACCTATCCACCTAGTAAATGATGGGTGATAGAAGGAGTAACTTCTATAATAAGTTGAAACTAGGGGGCGAAGAGCTAGAGTCTCACAACTAGCTATAGGAGTAAGTCAATAAGCCAACCGAGCATAGACAAGTGACTCAAATTCAAGAAACTACATAGTGGAGTACGACGTGGAAAAGCATTACTGGGAAGGAGGAAATCATTAAGTTACCTTACCCAAGGTGCCCCACTCTAAGCGAGTACGACATAGTAGGATATCATCCATAAAAGAGGCCAGTTAAGGATAAATTAGTGATTTTTAATTAAGCCACTGAGAACCATGACGAAGAGATTAAGGCTGTGTACAAGCATCGGTGGAGACAAAAGACATGGAATGTGTTATGTTAAAGGTTACCAAGGGCAAGCCACCACTGGAAGTTGTGACCTAAACAACAACGAGAAGATACTCAACAGAGGTTGGTGACCAAATATAGTACAAGCACACAACAGAAGATTTGTAGTTTGAGGGTAGTAAAAGTAAAGAAGCAAGGAGAACACCATAGAACGCTATAGGAAGAAGAATAAAAAGGCGGTTGTCGACCGGACAATGAATGCGTGAAGAAAGATAGTTGGGACGTGGTCAAGCACCATCGTGAGTAGAAGTTGTGGGTGTCATCTTGCAAGCCTACCTAGAGAAAGTTTATAGAGGAAATGTTGGCTCGGAGGTATGGCGAGGAGCTACTAAACTGAGTAGATCAAAGCTAGTACCAAGCATCGATGAAGGAGTTGTGGGAGTAAGGAGGAAACCACAAGGCTATAATGAAAGTTATGGTGAAAAGGGTGGTAGTTGATAAAACGACAAATTCAGGGAGAAAGATAGTTAGGAAGAGCCGGCGAAAGAATACGAAGGTCAACAAGGAGGCATTAAGGTGATTGCCAGTGGAGAATAAGTTGGACCATAGGAAGCCCATCAAGAACTGAGCAGCTCAATGGTCAACTTTAAAGTAGAAGTGTGGTGGTCCAGAACGATCGAAGGGAAAACCTTATCGGTCAAGGTACGTAAGTGAGAAGAGAATATGGGCACCCAGATGAATACATCGAGGACGAGGGACATATAGAACTAGCGAGAAACATAGGTAAGAGGGGTCACGAGTAAAGAAGTAAGATGGATATGAGTTTAGCGAACCTTCTAGGATACCCTAAAGTGAAAGCAATACCACCGATGAGGGTGAAATGTGGCGATCTCTCGGGTGAAAATTTCTTGGACGGGGAAACTGTACGGGGAATTTCAGGCAAGGTCAAAGAACAATAGAAGAGATCGTACGAGAACTCCCAAGTTAAACCGGTGATAAGGAAGTGTTAAGTTAGGCGCCACGAGTGAAAAAGTACTCAAAATGGAAGGTAATGATTCTGGAAAGGAGTCATAAAGTTGATCGCAAGCTAAAGAAAGATACATGGGATGCCTCTAATGCATACAGAAAGTAGAAGCAGTAGTATGAGGGTCCAGCACTAAGCAGCAAGTAACAAGAAGGTGACCATTCAATTTATGGTTAAGGGATAAGACGAGGCATTGAGGAAGAAGGTAAGAGATGCAAAGTTAGGAGATACAAGGACCTAGGTGATCTATGAGGTCAACTCCGGATGAGAGTTACGTTAAAGGAATTTTACTGTCTGATGGGATAGAGGATAAGCCGCCATATGTAACCCTGGGGTTCAAGATGAGCATCAACGTCTCGTATACTGAATAATGGATAGTTAATGTTCCGACATATGTCCAAGGTGCAGCCTAGGTGATGTGAGGTGTTAAGAAGCCATAACAACATTGAAGTTGCAGGAAGTTGAGAGAAAGATTTTTAGGTCATGTCGTATAAGTTAAGGGAAATAAAAATCCGCGAAGTGAAAAGGATTACCACAAGCGATGCTTAGGGTAATCACAGTGGACAAATTTCGAGGGCGAAATTTCTATAAGTGGGGAGGAAATGTGATACCTCGACTTCGATAGGTTCAACATCAAGTACTGGGCCCAAGTTGGAAAATTTTGAAAAGGGCAATAAGTCACTCAAACCTATTCGATGCTACCAAGCTAGATGAGAATATATGTTATGGTCAAGAGTACATATAAGAACTATAGTAAGCTATTCAAGACAAGGTAAGGGCGCACCATTGAAGTTCATATGGAAAGAGTGAAATCTTGAGCCAAAGAAGCACGAGAATGAGGAGTATGAAAGGATTAGCCCGATCAAATTTCGGGGACGAAATTTTTATAAGGGTGGAGGAAATGTTACACCCCGATCTTGCCAAAACTCAAAATGACGATTATACCCTTGGGGGAAATTCGTCAAATTCCATTGTAATATCGATGAGGACTAAAAATGCGAACTCTCGGTTCAAACGGTTTTGAGTTTTGATATAAATCGAATAAGCTACGGACGCTAGTTGAGTTACGGATTAAACTCACCCGTAATTTGGGAAATTCCCAAAAAAAAAAGCCCCCTCAAAGTAGCTCAACCCCAATCCCTTGCCTCCACTCAAGCTAATTAAAACCCTAAAACCCTTGCACAACACCAGCGAATGCAATAGACCTCGGAAATCAAAAGATGGAGGCAGGAGAATTTCATCCCTCTACTAGGAGAGCTGCTTGCTCCTCGTCCCATCAGTCATGGTTATCGTCGCCGATGCATTTGGGAAAGCAAGGCAGCAGGAAGCACGAGGTGGCTCGCTCTCGGTAGGCCAAGGCGGCAGATGGCGCTTATTGATCCGATCGAGAGGTGGCTTGTTGTCGGGAGCCAAAGCAAAGGCGGCAGGAATTCTCGGGAGCCATTTTTTTCTTCTCGCTGTCCCTGTATGGCTCATTCTTGTGGCCGTGTTATTGGTCGTCTCGTTGGGGTTGTGCCATAAAGGTCATCAGTCGTATTGGCTAAGCAATCTCATTGTTAGTCTCTCTATTACGAGAGAAGAAGCAAGTTAGGTCGTCCATTAAAGGTAGCATCTCCTCACGGTAATCAAGCTGGTCGATTGTTAGCAATCCCATCGAAACAACCTGGTGGCGAGAAAATGATGGAACCCCTCCCTACCACGAGAGCTGCTAGCCTAAGCAAGCTCGTCAAATTGTTAAGCAAAGCAGGACCATTATTAGATAGCCCGGCTGGGAGGTGATTACGTGATATCGTAAGAGGCCTTTTCAGCTACCAATACTTGGAGCAGAACTCACTTTGATTCTACCGTACACATTGATTGGTTCGATCGGGTTAGAGTACAAAAATCTTGCTTTTCAACCCATTTAGATTTGTCGAGCCCGGAAAGAAAATAGATTTAACGAGAAAAGGAGAGAGAAGTTCGCAAAGAATTATACCTTAAGCAAGCAGGACCATTACTAGATAGCCTGCCTGGTAACCCTCGGCTTGCAACAAAATTGGTGGAACCCCTCCTTACTACGAGAGCTGTTAGCCTAAGCAAGCTCGTCAAATTGTTAAAGTAGAGCAGGACCATTATTAGATATCCCTTGATTACGTGGTATCGTGAGAGGCCTTTCCAGCTACCTGCTTAAGCAAGCAGGACCATTGAGAGCTGTTAGCTTCGTCAAATTGTTAAAACAAAGGCGACTGGGAGGTGATTACGTGGTATTGTAAGAGGCCTTTCCTGCTAGCATGCAAGCAGGACCATTATCCAAAGCAAGCAGGTTGGCGATTCAGCAGGAGCCTTAGCAGGACCATTGTTAGATAGCCCGGTAACCCTCGGCTTGCACTCCCTACTACGAGAGCCACTAGCTTAAGAAAGCTCGTCAAATTGTCCAGCTACTTGCTTAATCAGTTGGTGATTCAGCAGGAGCCTTAGGCAAGCAAAAACCCCTCCCTAGAGAGCCGCTACCTTAAACAAGCTCGTCAAAAGTTGGTGATCCAGCTCTTAAGGACCATTATCCAAAGCAAGCAGGTTGGCGATCCAGCAGGAGCCTTCAGCAAGCAGGAGCATATTAGGTAGCCCGGTATGCAAAGCAGGTTGGCAATGCAGTAGGAGCCTTCAGCAAGCAGGACCATTATTAGATAGCCCGGTAACCCTTGGCTTGCAAGGTTGGTGGAACCCCTTCCTACTACGAGAGCTGCTAGCTTAAGCAAGCTCGTCAAATTGTTAAAGCAAAGCAGGACCATTATTAGATAGCCCGGCTCAGGAAGACTATCTAATTCTCCGGAAAGGATCAATTTAAACCCTCTTATAGTTTCTGCTAGACCGACATATTTTCCTAAATACTTCTGCTACGAAAAAGGGTTGTGATAAGAAACGCTCAATTTTTCGTGCTCTTGCTACAGTTAAGCGATCCTCTTCGAATAATTCGTCCAACCCCAGGATGGCTATAATGTCCTGGATTTCTTTAAAACTCCATGGACATGCAGAAGAGAAAGACTATCCCCACTCGGACCAAGACATAGCTTTTACTTGTTCAAATAACAATTAAGGTGAAGCAGGGTCAAGAACAACGAATCTCTTGGAGGTGATATCGTAAGAGGCCTTTCCAGCTACCTGCTTAAGCAAGCAAAGCAGGACCATTATATAAGACAAGCAGGTTGGCGATTCAGCAGGAGATTGTGATTAAGCAGGCATGAGGCGGCTCCTACCCAAGCATGTGGTGTCGGCAAAGTAGGGCAAAAGTGCATAATCAAGCCAGTTCCGACGGAAGTGAGGTGAGTGTAAAGGGGGTAAATTCTACGCCTTACGTAATCCTTTAAGCATTATGATTTTAAGTATTTTAGCAAATTGGTTACCGTTGTTTGATTATGTGTGTGATTGGATATTTGTGCGTTGCCTGAGCTATGATTTGAGGTGATTTTGTGCCATTTACCTTAAAGCGTGATGTTATAAGTTATCGTTAAGTTAAGAGTCAAGTTTTTTTTAAAGAAGTAACACACCTTCAAGAAGGTGAACTCATTTTAAGTGTTTTTAGTCACTAGCGCCAGTCCGTTGCCATTTGAGATTTGCAGACAGAGCAGCAGTTATGCTCTTGAGATCTTTGAGACAGAGCAGCAGTTATGCTCTTGAGACTTTTAAGATGAGCAGCAGTTATGCTCTTGAGATTCGTGGTGAAGAGCCACCACGATAAGTTTAAGATGTTAGGGGGATGAATCGTTACGACTTCTCTAACTAAGTTTAAGTTTAAGGAAAGCCTAGATGGCTTCTCATACGTATGAGTTGGCAATCGGACTAGCTAGTGAGGGATCCCCGTGTCAGTCAAGTATTTAAGTCAAGATTTGAGCTTTAAGAGAGGAGAGTAACTTCAACTCCCTCCAAGTTTAAGAGTTAAGATTTTAAGATTGGAAGTACAAACAACTTCCACTAGTCAAAGTTTAAGTGTTTTAAGTAAAGTACTAAGCAGTAAGAATTTTTAACGTAAGGGCGTAGACTGACCCCATCCCACTCACCAGTTTGAAGAGCTAGAGGAAGAGCTAGAGGAGCATTTAGTGAGCAGCGAGTTCGAGGGTAGCCAGCTAGAGGAGAGCAGTATAAGCATCACGGAGGATGCTTAGTCAAGGTTTTCAGTAGCATCAACTTCAGAGTTTATTAGTTAATTACATTTATGATTATGAGTACAGACTGGAGATTACTTCGAGATCAGATTGAGATTTTAAAGCTTGACTTTAAATTGCCCACGTGTTAGGGCTTTGCTTTGATCTTCAAGTGTGTTTTCAGTATTTTATTTATGAAAATTTTTCCCGCTGCAATTTAAGATTCGAGTATTTTATTTGTGAAGGGCATTTTAGTAAAAGTAGTACCCGGCCGGGTTAGGGTGTTTCATCTTGGTATCAGAGCCGGTCTTCATCTGTTCCTTGGTCTCCATGGAATACTGGAATGTCGGTCTCAGTTTTTAAAGGTTTTGTTTTAAAGGAAAGGGAAATCGAGTCAAAAATCTTTTTTTAAGAGTTTATAGGATCTCCCGTCTACTTTAATCATATTAAGGTGAATAACTATGACAGCACGACACGAAGGGATGGTAGCCCGGGGTGCGATTGTTTAAGAATAGGCTGGGACGCGATTTAGTTAACATATCGTGGTTTGTCAAATGAGAGATTTAGGCATATGGTCATCGCCAGTAAGAAAGAAAGGGGGAAAGAAGCGTGACCAACCCAAGTAGGATCTCAAAGGCTCTCAAGATCAAGTATCTCATCGACATGATGGATAGTAATTTTTGAATTAGTTAATCAACTACTCGGACGTTAGCAAACAGATCATCGTCATCAACCTAGAGAAGGAAGGAGGAACGTTGCAAAGGTCGGTAGAGGTAGAATCAAATGTGTGAGGTCTTCAACTCCAAAAACCAACAAAGAGGTGCCAATTGAAAGGGAATACCTAAGGGATTTGAAGGAGATGAGAGAGTAGTACGAGGATTTTACTACCAGGAAACAAGTGAATGATCTAATAAGCTAAGATAAACAAAGGGGGAGAAATATGAACCTCCAAAGGAAGAGGAACAATCACCAGATGCAGTAGCTATGATACTAGGATAATGTTAGGGTCTTTGGTCCTAAGCAGTGGAAAGTGGTCAACGGGTCAAGAAACGAAGAGGTACCCTGAGAAGTCCCTCAGCTAGTTTTTGTGGTCGATGGCTCGACGCGGTTACAACATAGTGACAAGGAGCAAAGGAAAGTTTAGACCTTAAAGGAATTTTGTGGTAGTATAAAGGAAGCAAAGGAGGAAATAAGTCGGTTTTAGGGAGTATGAAAGGACGTCAAGAAGTCAATAGTTTGAGGAGAGGAGGCATGGTCGTTTACATATGACGACAAATGAGCCCTTATAGATAAACTACGTCACTAGAGAAAGGGGTACATGACCCTGGGGAATAAGGCTGATAGCAAATCCTTACAAGGAAAATAACAAGCGTCAAGATAATCGAGGTAGAGGACGAGCTTGGATCAAGAATAACAATGTGCTAGTGAACAATACCGAGCTAGAAAGGGGATGGAATGGGATATAAGAGGCCGTACAAACTACCCAAATCACGAAAGGGCACAAGGTCGTTGGGGCCGTTGAAAGGGGGATGCAAGAGTTCGTAATGATCTTTTGTGTCATTGGCCTATCCAAAAAGGAGGGAGCACCTATCCACCTAGTAAATGATGGGCGATAGAAGGAGTAACTTCTGTAATAAGTTGAAACTAGGGGGCGAAGAGCTAGAGTCTCAGAACTAGCTATAGGAGTAAGTCATTAAGCCAACCGAGCATAGACAAGTGACTCAAATTCAAGAAACTGCATAGTGGAGTACGACGTGGAAAAGCATTACTGGGAAGGAGGAAATCATTAAGTTACCTTACCCAAGGTGCCCCACTCTAAGCGAGTACGACACAGTAGGATATCATCCATAAAAGAGGCCAGTTAAGGATAAATTAGTGATTTTTAATTAAGCCACTGAGAGCCATGACGAAGAGATTAAGGCTGTGTACAAGCATCGGTGGAGACAAAAGACATGGAATGTGTTATGTTAAGGTTACCAAGGGCCAGCCACCATTGGAAGTTGTGACCTAAACAACAACGAGAAGATACTCAACAGAGGTTGGTGACCAAATATAGTACAAGCACACAACAGAAGATTTGTAGTTTGAGGGTAGTAAAATTAAAGAAGCAAGGAGAACACCGTAGATCGCTATAGGAAAAAAAAAAGGTGGTTGTCGACCGGACAATGAATGCGTGAAGGAATATGGTCGGGACGTGGTCAAGCACCATCGTGAGTAGAAGTTGTGGGTGTCATCTGGCAAGTCTACCTAGAGAAAGTTTCTAGAGGAAATGTTGGCTCGGAGGTATGGCGAGGAGCTACTAAACTGAGTAGATCAAAGCTAGTACCAAGCATCGATGAAGGAGTTGTGGGAGTAAGGAGGAAACCACAAGGCTATAATGAAAGTTATGGTGAAAAGGGTGGTAGTTGATAAAACGACAAATTCAGGGAGAAAGATAGTTAGGAAGAGCCGGCGAAAGAATACGAAGGTCAACAAGGAGGCATTAAGGTGATTGCCAGTGGAGAATAAGTTGGACCATAGGAAGCCCATCAATAACTGAGTAGCTCAATGGTCAACTTTAAAGTAGAAGTGTGGTGGTCCAGAACGATCGAAGGGAAAACCTTATCGGTCAAGGTCCGTAAGTGAGAAGAGAATATGGGCACCTAGATGAATACATCGAGGACGAGGGACATATAGAACTAGCGAGAAACATAGGTAAGAGGGGTCATGAGTAAAGAAGTAAGATGGATATGAGTTTAGCGAACCTTCTAGGATACCCTAAAGTGAAAGCAATACCACCTATGAGGGTGAAATGTGGCGATCTTTCGGGTGAAAATTTCTTGGACGGTGAAACTGTACGAGGAATTTCAGGCAAGGTCCAAGAACAATAGAAGAGATCGTACGAGAACTCCCAAGTTAAACTGGTGATAAGGAAGTGTTAAGTTAGGCGCCATGAGTGAAAAAGTACTCAAAATGGAAGGTAATGATTCTGGAAAGGAGTCATAAAGTTGATCGCAAGCTAAAGAAAGATACAGGGGATGCCTCTAATGCATACAGAAAGTAGAAGCAGTAGTATGAGGTTCCAGCACTAAGCAGCAAGTAACAAGAAGGTGACCATTCAATTTATGGTTAAGGGATAAGACGAGGCATTGAGGAAGAAGGTAAGAGATGCAAAGTTAGGAGATACAAGGACCTAGGTGATCTATGAGGTCAACTCCGGACGAGAGTTACGTTAAAGGAATTTTACTGTATGATGGGATAGAGGATAAGCCGCCATATGTAACCCTGGGGTTTAAGATGAGCATCAACGTCTCGTATACTGAATAATGGATAGTTAATGTTCCGACATATGTCCAAGGTGCAGCCTAGGTGATGTGAGGTGTTAAGAAGCCACAACAACATTGAAGTTGCAGGAAGTGGAGAGAGATTTTTAGGTCATGTCGTATAAGTTAAGGGAAATAAAAATCCGCAAAGTGAAAAGGATTACCACAAGCGATGCTTAGGGTAATCACAGTGGACAAATTTCGAGGGCGAAATTTCTATAAGTGGGGAGGAAATGTGATACCTCGACTTCGATAGGTTCAACATCAAGTACTGGGCCCAAGTTGGAAAATTTTGAAAAGGGCAATGAGTAACTCAAACCTATTCGATGCTACCAAGCTAGATGAGAATATATGTTATGGTCAAGAGTACATATAAGAACTATAGTAAGCTATTCAAGACAAGGTAAGGGCACGCCATTGAAGTTCATATGGAAAGAGTGAAATCTTGAGCCAAAGAAGCACGAGAATGAGTATGAAAGAATTAGCCCGATCAAATTTCGGGGACAAATTTTTTATAAGGGTGGAGGAAATGTTACACCCCGATCTTGCCAAAACTCAAAATGACGATTATACCCATGGGGAAAATTCGTCAAATTCCATTGTAATATCGATGACGACTAAAAATGCGAACTCTCGGATTCGATATAAATCGAATAAGCTACGGGCGCTAGTTGAGTTACGGATTAAACTCACCCGTAATTTGGGAAATTCCCAAAAAAAAATACCCCTCAAAGTAGTTCAACCCCAATCCCACGCCTCCACTCAAGCTAATTAAAACCCTAAAACCCTTTCACCTCACCACCGAATGCAATAGACCTCGGAAATCAAAAGATGGAGGCAGGAGAATTTCATCCCTCTACTAGGAGAGCTGCTTGCTTAAGCAAGCTCGTCGCATCAGTCATGATTATTGTCGCCGATGCGTTTGGGAAAGCAATGCAGTAGGAAGCACGAGGTGGCTCGCTCTCGGGAGGCCAAGGCGGCAGATGGTGCTTATTGATCCGATCGAGAGGTGGCTTGATGTCGGGAGCCAAAGCAAAGGCGGCAGGAACTCTCGGGAGCCAAAGCAAAGGCGGCTTGATTTTTTTTCTTCTCGCTGTCCCTGTATGGCTCATTCTCGTGGCCGTGTTATTGGTCGTCTCCATGTTGTTGTCGGGTTGGGGTTGCGCTATAAAGGTCATCAGTCGTATTGTTTAAGCAATCGCATTTTAGTAAAAGTAGTACCCGGCCTGGTTAGGGTGTTTCATTTTTTACACAATTTGGGCTTAGGTTACCCAATTCCCCATTACGCGTTCTCGCTTCAAAACGTCAAAACGCGATTTTTTGCCGAGTTCGCCGAAAATTCACGAACTACTTTCTACAAGAGCGCGATTTGTGATTTTGGGAGCACCATTTCTTCTCGAACCTAGAATACTAGAGCTGATCTTGTGGGAATTAACCACCACAAACAATGGATTTCACAACTAGTCAGGCTGCAACCCCATCGACGTCACTCTCTCCCCGGCTTCCCGTTCTTCGCCGTTCCATATGCAGATCGACGCATGCAACAAGAAATCACACATCAATCCCAGATCAATCCTCATAGATCTATAGTAATAGAATCGAAATCGGGACTCAAAAGGTTCAGAGAAGTATAGGAGAAGAGACGGATGAGGCTCCCGGGAAGCGTAAGAAAGGAGTTATCTCGTCGCCGATAACCGTCAACGTCATTTTTTATGTCTCTCTCTTGGCGGATTCGAGAGAGTAAGTAACTGCACGAGATAGAGTAGTTGTGTCGATGTATGCCTCTCCTTCTCCTTATTGATCTATCGATTCTATCACTCAGTAATTAAAAGCAGAGAAGAAGAAGAAAGACAGAGATCGTTGTTTGGAGAGAAAAGAGGATGCTATTATCTCAATTAATTGGAGTCCCACTCCAAATTCCTATTTCCCAAGCCACGAAATTGAAACTCCTAAAAAATAATCCAATTAATTGAGCTGCATTTTCTTTAATATAAAGTTCTTTTTTGGAATAGATCCTTTTCTTATAGAATATTTATAGAATTTTTTAATCGAATAACCTAGTGTAATGTAATAAATAGATATTCATTCTATAGTAATTTTTGGAATGAACATTATTGATAAAAAATATAATTCTTATCTATATATCTATTAAAAATAATACAATATTAACGCCCCTTTCACGCTTTCAATACTGAGTTCTTGAAAAATAGACGCTCTCGCGCTCTCGCTCTTGCTCCCGCTCCCACTCTCGCTCCGCGAACTGGTTACCTAAATTTGGGCCCCGTGGGCAATTTTAACTTATATATTTGAAGCGCCGGTTGGATCAAAATCGACCGGCATTTTCCGGTTTTACGGTCGAACCTTAAAAACTGACCGGCATGCCAAATTGCATCAATTCTCTCTAGCGTTTCGGATCATGTCTGGTTTCTGGTTTTACCGGTTCAACTGGCCGGTCCGACACGGTTTCCTAGACCATGGTATTAAGTAGAACCTCTTTATATTATTTGTAGGATTTGATGTCTGAATTTCCCATTTAAAGTATTTGGTGTGGTTACGATTAAATTGGATGAGATAATTTCATCTAATTATTTCAAAATGAAGTAATTGAGTTTAAATATCTGGTTTATCAAAACATAGTAAGGATGTAATAATTGGGTTGGTGCAATTTGAATTGTTTTGTTTTGCATCTATTTGATTGATTGGTGTGTAAGAAATTTCAACCGTGTGTATTCATTACCTAAAAGGGGTATTTATACGCAAGTACATATAAAAGAGACAGATACAAACAGTGGTCGAGCCAGAAAATTGGCCAAAGGGGTGCTTATTCATTTCATGAAAAAGTCAACTATACAATAAAAAGTCAAAATTAAACGAAAATATGAAGTCAATAACATAATACTCAAGATTCGTACAATTACATAATTAACCCTAAATCCAACACATTAACCTAACCCTAAATTAACACAAATAACAAAACTTTCTAAGTAATGGAAATCAAAACTTAGATTTTACCTTGTTGTTAAGATTGATGATGTGAACCAAAGTAATTTTTGTGCTGCTTGCTTGTTGCTCCCCTACCCTGCTCACGATTGAAAAGAAAATGATTTTTGGAGGTGAAGGATGGAGAACTAAAGTCTGGAGCCTGGAGATAGTTTGGATTTGGAGGATAGGAACCAGAAATATAGGTGGTGGGTGGAGCGAGCTTGGACCCGGAGATGGAGAGCTTGGAGGTTAGACTCGCAGCCGTTGGAGGTTGGAATCATGGAAAGCTTGGAGGTTGGCGAGTGCAACTCGCATCCATTGTCGGATCCAGAATATAGTAGAGCACTGAGCCGCATTTCAAAAAAGCATAGTTTTTTCACAATATCAATAGTACACATCGATTTTTTAATATAGTGAATTCATTAATAATTGAGTCTACATCCATAACAATAACATACTCTCTTTCAAATAAAAGAGTTAACCAATCGGCGAGAAATTCAACGCTCATTTTTTTGCGCAAATCATTTTTCACTTGTTTCATTGTTGAAAAGATTCTCCCCATAGCAGTTGTTGAAAGGAGCAATGTCAACACTAGACTATCACAACCGTCCCTCCGTGGGTCCGATGTCGTCGCGTTGGCATTTTTGGAAGTCGCCATCGATCTTACTTGGAGTGTATCGAACACTCTTCAGATCGGCTCTAACCTTAGGATCAGAACCGAAATATGGTCTGCGGTTAAGAGATTCGGGTTCGGGAGTACGGTTAAGTGCGGGGAAGTGAAATCACACCCCACGACGCCCTAAATCGGTACTACTTAAGTTGATAAGTGGTTAGTTGGACTCGAACCTTACCGGGTGTTATTTTGGTAATTATTGTGTATTTTAAAATCCCGCTGGATTGTTAATATATTGCTTATGACTTAACTAATACGATTTGACGTTTAGTTCATGATTAGATATTTTAGATATTTGTAGGGCCTTACTGGACCACTAAAGAAATTAAATTGTATTAATTGCAATTTAATTATACGCCCACTGACGTAAAAGATAAAGTTAAGTGGTTAGTTGGACTCGAACCTTACCGGTTGCCTACGTACCCGTTAGACGGGATCAAAGTCCACGTAGTTCGTTCAAACCACGATAAATTTAATTGTAATCACGTTTCACTGATCGTGATTTTCGTATTACAATTTTGTTAATAAAACTTCATTTCGATTATTATGAAGTTGCTAAAGTGAAAGTAAGAATTTTTATTACTAGAAAGAAATTCGATGTATCAGAAAAGAAGCAAAACTAACTTAATCCGCATTCAACATTTTTGTATTAAGGATTTTAAATAATAAAAGTAAACGAATGATTGACATAACGCATGATGGGACAGGCAGCCCAACCGGCTAAGTTGCTAGCCACGTAGCGCACCCGTATCTAAGGACACAGGTTCGACACCTGGTCCCTTCACTCTCTTGTTGTCTCTGTTCTCTCTTTTCTCTCGTCTTTTATCAACAAAGACCGAAAAGAGAAAGAAAAAAAACAAAGCAAACCAGCGCCGCCCTCTACCTCGCCTCTCTCCCTCTCTTCTTCAAAACGAAACCCTAGCCGCCTAGAACCCTTACCTCTCTCGCCCCTCTCGATCCTTCTATCTGTCCCTCGTCCTCTCTCGTCCCTCGTCCCTCTCTATGTGCCCCTAGACATGACGAATGCAAACGAAAGGGCGCCGGCGCCGCCGCCGGTGACTGGAGACATGTGCCGCCGGCAATGACAACGACAACGACGAGGGTGAAATGGTTCGTTTTCTATTTCTGCATGCCCAATTTTACCATTTTCAGATTCGATTTTAGGGTTTTGGAGTTCTAATCTTTTATTTTGCTTGTTTTGTTTCCGGAAAAATCGTCTCTAACTCGAGCAGGCTTCTCGATCTATCCTTCATCGCCGAAACGACGACGACGATGGGAGAATCCTACCCTCTGGTAAGCCTATTTTGACATGCATGCTCGTTTTCGTTCGATTTAGGTGATTTTATTTGGGATTCGGCTAATATTTTTTCGTTCGATTTAGGTGATTTTATTTTGGATTCGGCTAATATTTTTTCGTTTTCTTGCGACTCTTGAGGATTGGGTTTAGACGACGGTAAAAGAAGCGGGGAGGAGACCGCCGCTGCCGCTGAAGTGGGTGTCACCGCCGCCAGGAAAAGCAGATGCCTAAGCAGGGGCATAGTCTCTTGGTGGTTTTTATTTTATTTTTTTATTTGAATCTTTATTTACATTGGGTTCTAATTCTATTTCTTCCTCTGGCAGATTCGAATACCTAGAGATTTAGGTGAGGTCTCCAATCCTGACTTTTTATGGTTAGGGAGATTAAACTAGAAAGGGAAAAAAAACTAGAGGAATTTTACAAGGCTATTTAGTATTAGTGCTATAGGTTTTTGCCTTTATGATACAACTTGAAATTGTACCTTTAACGTTATGGTACAACCTTAGATTGTACCTATACTTTTTGTACAAATTCTTTTATGGTACAACTGAAACTTGTAACTTATGTGATGGTACAACTTTAAGTTGTAAAGTTGTACCATAACATAATGATACAAATTCCTTTATGATATAACCTAAACTTATACATTTAATGTTATGGTACAACTTCAAGTTGTACATTAAAGCACCGATGCTATATAGCATAGTAGAAGTGCTAAAAAAAACTAAGATATTCATGGATTTAAAAATGATATACAAATCAGGCTTTTTTTTTAAATTAAAAGTTCTGAATACAATTTGAATGATTCTGAAACGGTGAATCCGTTTATGAAATCTAGTGGGTTTGGTTGTAGCTCTAGATATTCTAGGAATCGGTAAAAAAGGAATTTTGGTTGTGGCAGAAGAAGTTATTAACATGCTCAAAGATTGCTAATTTTGACGATTATAGATCACTGCTATTGCTTGTGATTTACTAAGCTAAGAACAAGAAGTTTTTCAATACTTGTATGGTGATGGCTTAATTGCGATTATGATCCTAGAAAGCGATTCTATCTTATTTTGTATAACACTTCGTCGATATGGATGGTGTTCTAATGTTTGTTTCGACTATGGTTGAAAGTGGACACAAACTTGGGTGAGGTTTCTCTGAAACCGATAGATTAAACTGAAATGAGTTTTTTTATGTTCTAT